ATCTTTAGTCGCGTCTCGATTTTTCTCGTACGTTGCAGACTCTCGCCAGGATTGATCGGTTTGAATTCCCTTGTAGGGAGGTCCCGGTTCAAATCCTGGCCGAGCTAATATTCTTTGCGACAAATTTCTTCAATTAAAATTGCCAGCTGCGTCGATTGTTAATTTTCTACATTGACTAAATTATTCACCGGCAACAATAAGTCTTTATTCCTGTTACGAGTAAAGATAGTCTGCATTTGACTCATCGAATAAAACGGGGAAGGAAAGTACGAAGTAAATGTTTAAAGTGCGCTCCGCACATGACCAGCGATAAATTTCAAGCCGCGTATTTTCGCGCCTTTAATCTTTGCGGTATTAATAATTATCAGCACGCGACTTTCCCACTCATCCCGCTTGTGTACGTTCGCAAGGCCACACGACAGAAATTTGCTACGGAATAATACGACTTTGCGGTAGGTCGCTGCTTATAACTTTCAGTTATATTCTGCACAAAAGCGGCACGTAGGTGTGTCACTCCGCATATAAGATAAAAGCATTTCGTCTGCACGTCTCTCCAGCGCGAGGGAGCGTAGTATCTTCCAGCACCGATTGTTGCCGTTGCGCGGTCAACCGATTTCTACATCGAGGCCCACTTGTATTTGGAAGCCCTCTAATTAGCCTAGTTAATTGGCTCGCCGACGGGAAACCACGGTTCCCAGTACAGAATTCCCGACTCTACCGCTATTTCAATCAACCCTGGAACTTGTTGAAACCGATATAACTTTGACGAGCTCATATTTCGATAATATGTTGCACGCGGAAGTGAAGCGAACGCGATCGTTCGCGATAATGGAAACGTGAAAATTGACGCAAGAAATTCTACCGTGTCTCTCGTCTCCGAAAAATTTACATTATTGAAAACGTGCTGATAAGTGCGCATGCAAGACGTCGATATCGCGACACCATTACATTTTTCTACCATCTGACTGCCAATTTTTGTAAACACGATACATTAATGCATCCCTCCTTGTCCCCGCGGACGACGTCGATTCTCCACATTATTATTCGCGTTCAACGTGTGTGCGCGCGCGCAAAAGGGATATTTTTAACGTTTATACAGATACTTTATCTCATTATAATTCGCCCACGCGTCCGCAGAGCGACTGCGTTAGTTGCCGTAACGATCTCCGCCGCAGCGAAGGCAAACTTCTCTTCCTCGTCCGCTTCCTCATCGTCTTGTTCTCCGTGTTCGCGCGTATCCTCCTCTCTCGCCAATTTTTACTCGCTCTTTGGATTACATTTCTGCCATATTTCTTGTTTATTATTTTTTCCCCACGCGAGCGCCGCGCTTATTCAAACACCCACTTATTCTCGTCACAATTGCCCTTTTAGCGCATCGAAATGTACACATATCCTGCAAAGCGTGAACGTCCCTTGTTTATAATAAATATTCGCTCTTTTCTCTTATTAATAATTTCGACGTAAAATAGATGTGGCCGAGTAAATTTCGCGATCGACCGAATTAACGTCGTTGGAGCGCGATCGAAAGAAAGAGAAGTATCCTAAGCATCCTTTTCATGCGACTTGAGATCTGAACGCAATTGGTGGGCACTTAGGAGCGAGACGGTTCATTTGCATGTCTATAAAGTGGCATACGTGAACACGTACATGAATACATACATGAACGTATGGCTACTTACGTAAATTCGTGTCGTCGACCTCGCGTGACTTCCCGTAACTTAGTTTTATCTTTTTTTCCCCCCCCGTTGAATCTGCGCCACAATGATGTCGTCGTCGCGTTGCATTTTACTACAAAATGCAGTCGCGCGCGCGCGCGCGCCAACGATTATATGCAAATATTAAGGTTTCAAATTGTTTATTTTCGGTAAATTCTAATCGGCCAAGCACAAAGTCTAAAAATCTAAAATTTTACACGTTTAGATAATCGAATTATACGCGTTTACGTATTCACATTTAATTAATTAAAGAAAAACTACGCCGGAACGCGCGGCGTACGCGATACACGAAACACGATACGGTGCGCGCAACTAATAGCGCTCGTAGATTAATCGACGGGCGAGCTAAAAGATTCCACTGCTGGCGTAACGCGGGTGAAATACTCCAGGCGGAAAATAAAGACATTGGCCGCTCGTTCGCGAAGGCTACCCGCTGCTAAGGAAATCGATAAATCCGCCGTGGCGATATCGATACTGATGGCTACCCATGTTTTATCGCCCCGCGGATACGCGATCGCCCGGATCTCGATTATGAATTCCCGTCGTCCTGGTCTTAGCGGGGCGCGGCTGGCTTTCCAAGATACCTTCCAGTCGTTCCGACCATTTTCCCCGCAATCAACGTCGCGTATTTCTCGCCTTCCGTCCGTGCGACCTTTTTCATGAATATTATATTAATTTGCATACATATATTCTTGATTTTATATATTGGCGAACTTTTGCAACTTAATACGCCGAGAAAAATGTCAGATGAAATATAATCGGACAATCCAATTACATAATAACAAACGGATATATCCGGTGAAAAGTATGATCGATTATTCGATCAACTTTCATCGGATAAATTTCGCAGAATAGACGCATAATTTAATCGGACAAGTTACTCGGAGAAATTAACCGTCGGAAACACTATTTAATTGGTTGATCCGATGGAAATGTTGCTGTGTATTTTTAACCGGTTTATCTTCATATACAGGGTGTCCCAGGAGGAAAGGTCAATATTCTGGGAGGTGATAGAATCGGTCATTTTAAGCAAACTGTTTCCTTTTTTTGTATAATTTTGTTCTTGTCTAATTGGTTATGTGATAATTTGTATAAAATAAAAAATCGATTTGTATAATAATGTATTGAACAATTCGAACTAACGGTGACTAATAATTTTTCAGAAATCGAGGCGCAAGAAGCTTGCAAATGGCTGAGAGCCGCCGGATTCCCGCAATACGCGCAAATGTACGAAGGTAAGTGTCTCGATCGCGAAGATAATTAGCAATTCTGGTTTGCAACTGAAGATCTATCGACCCAAGTCAGAATCCCTTTAAATCGCGTCGAGATTGAACGAGGAGAACTATAATAACAGCTAACGCGAACTGAAGGGAAGTAATTTCAGATGAAATCTAAATCACTGGGGACATCCGAGGATTCAGATGTCCTGAAAGTAGATAATGGGAATTTAAGTGGAGCGCGCGTTGGGTGTGGGAGGAAAAGGATAACCTTTTGTTATCCTCGAAGTCTCTATTTCCTTAAGGGAGATAAACTGCCTACCTAAACTTTCCACAAATTCTAACTCATTCGAAGCTACGACGCGGCTACAGTGAAGTTGTCGCACATAAATTCTGACGAGCGTTGTCTTAATTCCGTAAGATTGTCATCGACATAATTTTCACAGCATATTTCCCAAGTGCTATTTAGAGCCATGTGTTTGATCTCACGTGGGCTCTTCGTCTCAAGGCGATCGCACGCGTCGCATGTACTGCTTGTTCTCGAAAACGGATGGGACTGGAAAGATCGGAGTCATTTTTCAGGACTCGCTTCGGAGAGAAATAGTTGGAGCAGGGGAATTAAAGGCCCGAACGGCAAGATTGATAGAGATACGGGTGACAGTTTGAACTTCGCTTCGTTCGAACTTGGAAAAAATAGTGAAACATACTAAATGTGTATACGCAACGGCGTGCTGATTCTGAAAAACCCCTCGTGAATAACGCGACGTGACAAATAGTCTTACTGCAAATAAAATTAATGAGTCCTACCGCAGGCCGAGGCCTGTGGGTAACTATTTTGCAACTGGGCCCGACTGCCAACTCAAGTGTTGCAAAGCAGTTATTCATACGGCAATACAATGCGCGAGCTCTCCAGCGCATCGGTGGCCACGTAGCGCCAGGACACGGCGGAAGGAGGAGCAGTAACGAGAGACACGTGGGCAGACGCGGCGGATCAGGTCGTCGCTCGTCGCGCGCGAGAGCCGAGAGAGTAAATTATTAAGGGGGCAGAGAGCTTGATGCGTATGTGCGCCCGGACATGTTAATACGTCTCATAATGCGGACCCTTTGTCGCGGCGCCTACCAACAATGCGTTCGTTATTGCGGTACCGGTGCATTGTTGCCGCCGCATTTGCGCCGCCGATGCCTTCTTCTTGCCGTGCCATTAGCGGGCTATTGTTTTACGTTTGCAGCCCAAGGGGGGTCTCGCGGGAGACCTCAATGCCTTGGCAGTCGGGCTCAATTTTTGACCGTCCCTCGGATCGATTTTCTTAACCTTCTTCCCAGTCCGGCGGACTCGAGTGACACTTTGCTGGACAAAATAACAAAATAGGATACCGTTGTGTATTTACAGAGGGAGCGTTTCGCTCCTGGAGACCCATGGACCACCCAGTCATTGACATTAGTCAAGACTACTTAAAAAATTTTCGAAAGTTCGAAACCCAACCACCTGCCCCCCCTCGTCTTTTCGTGCTCCCTAAAAAAGCTCCACTTTCATCTCGGAGCCGTGATTAATTGTGTCGCGGGAACTTGGTAAAAATATGCGGCGACCGGCCAAAAAGGAGCTGACAGAATTTCATCCGTCGGACGTCGCGTTCTATCTAGCGCTGAAAAAAAAATATATCTCGAGGATTTAATGATTCCATATCCTGGTGACATAAATCTCGTCTCACATTGTGACGCTTAGCCGGGAGGTAAGATCCGCGTGGATGTAAATCAGTGCGGCTAGGCGAAATGAAAAATTACGCGAGCCATTAATCACTCGTCCGACGGCGTCCGGGTGAATATTATTCCCGCATTAGCTCTTGAAATTGAAGAAAGACCTGGAATTACTCGCCGTGCCAAGGACGTTAATGACTGCTGAACACGAGGCATTAGTCCTTTCCCTATGTACACGTGGCTTAATGCCTCCGCGCGCGCGCGCGATACGCTCTCTCGGCTGGATTCGCGGGACTCTGTTTGCGTCTGTTACGAACACCGTGTGCATCGCGAAGGAATACGTCAACGAAAACCGCATCGGCGAGACTTGGCATCAGCTGTCCTCGTATCCAGAAGATTGTACTTCTATGACAGTTCATTTCTGCGCGCGGCACATTTTGAGGGACGTCGATAATTAAATTTGATTGACACGTCTAGCGCAAGCTGAAAATTCTATTCAATGTATATTTCCGACATATTTACACAATTGTGAATGAAAGTAGCAACGTGACCAAGCGGAAGACAAGGTTTAACGTAATTGTGATTTATTATTTAAATGCAACTGGTCGGAATTTTTCAATTCGCTTAATAACTCGGCGTTACATATAACTGTAATTTGCAAGTTTAATATGTTAGCTCCATTATAACTGTAAATTTATGTGCCTCCGGTCACGCCACTGGTACGCCAGGCGAGCGAGATACGCGCGTGTTTTTCTCGCCGCGCGGCCAGGAATCGGAGTAGCGACGCGTCTCGCATGTGCAAGAGGCGGAAAATAAAATTTCCCATTGAATGTCGACGGATCACGGGGTCCAGTCCTCGCATGTCACATCGCATCAAAACGACACGTCTCACGGGGACACCTTTTATATTCATACCTCGAGACAACGTGACGACGACGCGCAAAGTGTAAATTCTCATTTTCCGCGTTAATCATCTCCAGGGAGATGTTCCATCGTGAAACCGTCGTCCTTCCGGAAAATTGGGAACGACGTGGAATTTTCTTCTTCATCGCCGACCCGAAAGAAGCGGAACGCTAATAAATTAATTTGACATTTTGTATTTTTCTTCCTCGCGATTCGCTTATTTACGACATTTCACGTCACCGTGAAGAAATCGCGCGGACAACCCTAAAGATACGTTGCGTAATGAAACATGCGGTGTTAATCATGCGCGAGTGGATTAACGTCGATCGCGTAAAGAGCGCCGTGCCGCCGACACTCCCATTTCCATTGTACGAATCGCGGGGAGAGATAGGGGCCATTCTGCTTCACGACGGTCGTGATTAAACAGATTTGCTCGACATGCACCGCGCGATCGCTGCACAAGCCGCCGCGCGGCTTGTCCAACGTCACGTAAAATCCGGACGGAAAATTTCACGCCAGGTTTAACGTCGCGTTAATGCCTCGACTTTTCGTCACCGTTCAACCGCCGGCGTCCACGTGTTCCGACTGGCCTGGCTCGCAGCCCCAGAGCTCGATCGCGCGCGCAACACCCGAGCAGTTCGCGTGCGAAGGTTTCAACGTGACTTTTTTTTTGGCAACTCTGGCAGTGCTGTTAATTCTTTCGTCGATGACTGGTCCACACGGTTATCTGAATTTAGCAAATTTATACATTTATGCATTTTTATATTACGCGTTTTTGCAGGTAATAATTGTGTCTGAAGGAAAGTGAAAGTAAAATGGAATAAACAATGGAATAAAAAGAGTATGAAGATTAATAGGAAGAAGATCCAGATATGCGTTTGGTATAACTAAAATAGGACAGCGAAAGCTAGGGTTCATTTCTTCCATATCTTTTAGGCCCAGTTTTTCATTTTCCTGTTAACATTTAACCAGCAAATGAAAAACCGGGTCTTAAGAAAAAAGGACGTTATGGTAACACATTGGTCTCGTCGCTATATCTGTGTTGTAATTAGCTTGACCAGTGCTAATGTATTTTATTACAGCAAGCATATATTATAAGTGCATACAAATTGACTTTGAATATTATTCGAATGTATTACACGCGTTAATTTTATACATTATACTTTTTAAACTTTTAGTATACATAGAATTATATGTACAGGGTGTTATGTAATACCCGTCTCACCTCTTATTTACGGATAGAGCGGACCAGACCGAGTCGAAAAGTCCTCTACTATTTTGCAATTTTCGCAACAGTTAATGAGTTATTAATTATTGAAAATCGCTGTCTTAGCCCGGCTTACCGCCCAATTCGCGCACGCTGCAAGACGAGGCCGTCCCGCAATCGGTATTGCTAGGAGCGGGGAGTCGTTCATTATACGTCGCCCTAGCCGCGTGTCATTCCCCGCGCGTCTAGCAACGCCGATCGCGGGGCGGCCGCATCTCGCCACGAGCTTGAATTGGGCGGTAGGCCGGGCTAAGACAGCGATTCTTAATCATTAATAACTCGTTAACTATTGCGAAAATTGCAAAGTGGTAAAGGACTTTTCGACTCAGCCTAATCCGTTCTATCCGCAAATAAGAGGTGAGACGAATATTACACAACACTCCGTATATTTAGAAGCAAAAAATTATTGTATTTGTTTGTGAAAAGTAATCGTCGCGCTAATAGTGATTATAGTGCAACCTTCTCTCCGGCGTGTAACTAATAGCAAATTCGATTGCTTGCTCTAGCGCACTGAGTGCACACTAAGGCCTGTTTATGGTCAATTTTTATATATTTAACTTTGGTCTTAAATACACGTTCAAAGAATATTTAGCTAAAAACTGGTCCGTATGGATGCTATACAGATTATTTTACTGGCTAAGAAATATTTTAAGATATATTTAAGACGATCCTTGAATATAAGAATTGACTATAAGCAAGCCTTAGTGTGCACTCAATGCGCAGTAGTGCAAGCAATCGCATTCGCTATATTACGCAAAAAAAGCTGTTTGCAGAGTTCCAGTTTGCATTTTAAAAAATTTACCATGTGTGCGATTTTGTTTCACGTTATTTGAAACGACATAAATCAGCTGTAAAAGTTTCAAGATAAAACGATTTTATACTTTTGCTATGAAGAGAGAGAGACACGTTGTTTATTTATTATTCTACAAAAGTCAGCTTGCACACAAAGCTGCCGCCTGTGTTCTCGGAAGAGAGAGCTGAAAGAAAACTACGAAACATTTCTCAATTTTATCGAGTTTTCCCAGACGAAATGCATATTCTCCGTTTTAAATAATTCCTTTGCATTGAAATATAAATTACAATGTTATTCGTAGATTATGAGATTATTTTGAGGAAGATTATCTCAGAAACATATTGTGTACCAGTACTCAAC